GAACTCCTTCCATCTTGAGGAGTGTGAGCTGATCCACGTGAGCGTGACCGATGAGTCGGTCCAGAGATAGGTGGTGGCGTTCGTGAGATTGAGTTGGTCCTTGACGTACTTAGTCAGTTTGGCCAGGAGGAGAGCCGCAGTGAGTTCTAGTCGTGGGATTGTCAGCCGTTTGAGCGGTGCGACCTTCGTTTTTGAGCAAACCAATGTGAGTTGTGATTTTCCCTTGTTGAGGACCTTGAGATAGATCACGGCTGACATCGCCACTTGTGATGCATCGGGAAAACCGTGTACTTCGACGACGGAATCCGTGAGCAGTCCAAGCCACCGAGGTATGGTGATCTCTGATAACTGTGTGAGCTCCTCCCTGAATTGGCTCCATCGTTGAGCAGTTGTCTGGGAAACTGGTTCGTCCCATCCCAGTTTCTCGATCCATAGAGCCTGGAGCAATATCTTCGCTCGTATGACCACTGGCGCTAGGAAACCCAGTGGATCGAAGAGTTGAGCCGTTTCCGATAAAATGATTCTCTTCGTTATTGAGCTGGTCTCAGGCTGAGTGACGGAGAACTTGAAGTTGTCCGTTCCAGGATGCCAAGAAACCCCTAGAATCTTGGTGAGCGAGTCCTCTATGAATCGTTGTTCTTGAGAGGTGCTGTCAGGTTGAAGAGATGTGAGTAGAGCTGGGCTATTTGAGTGCCATTTGGCTAGCGGAAAGCCTCCTGACCGACAGAGCTGTGTCACCTGATGAGCGGTCCTGAGTAGCTCTTCATCTGAGTCAGCACCCCCGCAGATATCGTCAACATATCGTCCTTTCATGAGCGGTTCCACAGCGAGAGGATAGTTCGATCCTTCATCCTCAACGAGCTGATGAAGAACACGCATTGAGAGGAACGGAGCTGACCTAGTGCCATATGTGACCGTGGTGAGTTGATATGTGGCGATATCTCCGTTTGAGTCGGTCCAGACTATTTGTTGGAGTGGCCGATCTTCCGGATGTACCCGAATTTGACGAAACATCTTGGTTATGTCCGTCATGAAAATGAGCCGTTTCCGCCGAGAAAAGAGAAGTACATCCGAGATATCCTTCTGCAACTTCTCACCCGTGTGCATAATCTCGTTCAACGATTGTCCTGAGCTGGTCTTGTTGGAGCCGTTGAAAACAACTCTGAGCTTCGTTGTCTCACTGCTCGCCCTGAGAACTCCGTGATGAGGGAAGAAATATTCCGGAGGAGCGTCAGCCCGAGAAGAACACGGACGGCCCGAAACCCTCAACCCTCCTGAAGCCGAGGCCTCATGTGCTAAGGTCATTTCGGTGCCCGTGCCCCCCCCCCCATTGAGCTGGCGCTGATGAGCTGATCTAGCGAGCTGTCTGGAGACTCGACGCATGTGGCCGAGCTCTTCATATTCCCTGAGGAAGTCTGTGTAGAGTTGACGATAAACCTCATCAGTTTCCCGAGCAGACGATGGAGGCAAGCGAGTGCAGACGATCGTGAATCTCCTAGCGAGGAAACTGGAGATTTGAGCGGTATCCGAACAATGTAGCGGCCAGATGCATCTCGTGAGTGGGTCCGTTGAAAGTGTTCTTCACACTGCGCTTCCTCCTCGTTGAGCTGAACCTCTGGTGTCCCAGGGATCTCTTCCTGGATCCAGAATTTGGTGAGCAGTTCGTTGAGATCCTCGTTGGTGACCGTTAGATGAGAAGTTGCTACTTGAGTAGTATCAGGACCTTCCGTTGGTCCGAATACGATCCATCCAAGTCGCGTGAGCTGAGCCGATGGTGAGTTTGGTCCGTTGGTGATGACTTGTGGTAAGATGAGTTGTCCATAGACATCAGCGCCAAGAAGGATGTCAATTGGTGCTGGTGTGAGAAAATCGGGATCAGCGAGCTGGAGTCCTTCCAGATGATCCCATGTGAGCTGACTTGGTGAGAATGTCGGTAATGAGGTTGTGAGCTGGCCGAGAGCATAGGCAGAAACTCTGAGCTGAAAGTGAGAGCAAGTGGACTGTATTGTGAGCCGAACCTTGCCTAATGCCGGCCCAGATGCCGTGTCTCCAATCCCCGATATTCGTAGCTGTGTCTTGAGCCTTAACAGCCCAAGCTGACGAACGAGCTGGTCTGAGATGACGGAGATTTCCGACCCTGGATCGATGAGTAGACGAACCTGATGAGCTGGCTGATCTGGGCGTACCAAAAGCGCAAGGCTGGTAGCCAGAAGGACCCCAGGGCGGAAGTCTGGAGCGGATCCGGAATCTGAGTGGTGACCTGAGCAGGAGACGGCAATCTGAGCTGGTGATCTTCATTCCGACGACGTTGACTGGCCTTGGTCACCAGTCACCACCATGGGGATGTCGTTCTCGTGGGTGTAGGTCACCACCGGAACGGCCTTTTGCTGGGTTGAGTTGGTCTGTTGCCTCTGCTGAGCTGGACGTTGAGGCTGACTCGATGGCTGGTTGTGGAGCATCGAGTGGTGGAGGCCCCCGCAATACTGGCACTTGGTCTTGGACCTGCAGTCCCTCACCGAGTGCCGACCAAGGCAATTGTAGCAGAGGTAGCGACGCTCTACTACCTCCCTACGAGCTGATACCGAAAGTTGACGGAAGGATGAGCAGGATGTGAGGTAATGGTCTGCCTCACACATCGAGCACGGGTACGTGACCTTCCCCGATGGAGCGGACTTGGGAGCTGGCCTCGATTTTTGTGGTGGTTGAGCGGTGCCGTGGTGAACCTTCGCAGCGGTCGACTGCTTGGATGAGCTGACATTGGAGGGCTTTGTGGCAGGAGCACGAGGAACCGAGTTAATCTCGATGCTCTCCATCGCGCGAGCTCTCCCAGTGAGGAAATCCTTGAAGTCCTTGTATGAAGGATACTCCGCCGATGAACCGACCTTGACCTCCCAGGCTTCACGAAGCTTTGAGCTGAGCCGTTGCGAGACCGTATGTACGATCACCTGGTCCCACTGGGAGGTTGGGGAGCCGAGAGCCTCCAGAGCGTTCAGTGCCTCAGAGGTGACAGTGAGCAGGGCATTGAGCTCTTTGGCACTGTGAGAAGTCATGGTTGGGGGACTGAGGAGGTGTTCCAAATGAGCTGAAATGAGCAGTCGCTTATTCTCGTAGCGAGACAAGAGCAGTTCCCATGCAATCGAGAATGACTCATCCGAGATCGTAAGATTCGCGATGCGTTGAGCTGGCTCCCCTGAGAGACTAGTACGAAGATAATGCATCTTCTCCACGTTGGATAGATCCGTATTCGAGCCGACCAGAGACGCGAAAAGATCGCGGAACGAGCGCCAGTCCGCATAGGCCCCTCCGAACTTGGGCAGAGAAATCTCAGGGAGATAACGCTTGGAGTATGTGGGCTGAGCCGTCCCAGACGCGAGAGACCGACGAGATGAACCTGAGATCCCCCTTTTATCAATGAGCTGGCTTAAAATACCCCTTGCCTCATGATAATGCCCGATAGTAATGTCAAACCGATGGTCCTTGAAGTACGGCAATTCAAGGACCCCTTCGATCTTACCGCTGCCAGCGATGAGCTTCTCATGAGTGCTCTCGAATTTTTCCCAGTAGGTCTCCAGGATCTCGAGTTTACCCTGGAGATTGGAGATTGTGAGGCTTTTCGCCTCTTCTGTGAGCAGCTCCTTGTAAACGCGTTCGATGAACGCTGCCCGAGAGTTATTCAGGCTAATGGTCGCCTCAAATGATGCCATAATTGAAAATAAGTGCGCAGCTCAAAAAAAGAATAAACCGGAAAAAACCTGAGTAAAGCGACCCCAAAAGCCGAGCAGTGAGCAGTGAGAAGCGATAAAATTAAGTATCCGGTCGGTTGAGCGGCAACAGTAATAACACCGAAGAGTCTTAATTTAGTAGGTAGCAGCAGTGAGCGATTCCGTTGAGCAGGCGCGAGAATTTATTGAAAAATTCAAAAAAAACGAAAAAGGGTTGGAAAATATAAAGGGAGCGAGCGGTAGCCAAAAAAAAACAAAGTTGAATGCTCCAAAAAATTAAAAAAAAAAGGAAAAAATAGCAAAAGTAGCAAGAGGTAATTAAATGCTACTTAGCCGAGTGAGTGATGTTGAGCTGGACCAGTGCAGGAACGCTGCAGTTGAGAAAAAAGTCCAAAGTCCCGGGGATGAGCTGCTCCAAAATTCAAATATTCCCGCGGGCCGGTAATGCAGTTCCCTGATGATTGGAGAGCTGGACTGATTGAGGTCCACTGCATACGCTGAGCCAACGAGCTGGTCCCCGTAGGTTGAGCACCACTGACCGCGGCACTTCCACTCCCGCCAAAACCCAACAAAAAAAACGAAAACCGAAAAATATTCCACCGATCCGGCTCGAAGGACCAAAATGTTTGATGAGATGCCTGGATCGGGGAATTAATTGTGCGGATGGATGAGTTGGAGTCGGATTACGGGGATTGGGATGAGTAGAACCAAGAAATGATCGGAACACGTGCACGTGGTCACAAATTCACTGTATTTGTCAAAGAAAATGTTCACAATAAATAAGTCACTAGAGATTGAGTCACTAACTAAACCGTAAGCAATGAGCGGACCGAAAAGTTGAGAAGAGATTGAGCTGACACAATAAGTTAATCCGAGTCTCTAGAGAAATTGAGCGGTACAAAGAGAAGTGCCATTAACAGGATCCCGGAAACGAAAGAGAGAGAGACACGGGCTTACAGGTGCCACGTGCCCTAATTCGATGGTCNTAACTAGATCCCGGAAACGAATGAGAGAGAGACACGGGCTTACAGGTGCCACGTGCCCTAATTCGATGGTCACATGACCTAATTTAATATAGATCATATGGTAATAAGGAGCTGTCCAGGACGTGGCGCCTCAGGTGTCCGAATTAACAACCCCCGGTCATCTGAGGTGAGCGCGTCAGGTGTGCGTGAGTGGGGAGAGAATGGATGAGCCTTGCGTGCGTTAGTGTGAGGGACCTGTCGGCTGACAGGATTTCCAACATAAACTCAGAGAGAAAAATAAACACATCGCTCACAGTCGTAAAATCGTAAAATCTCAATTCTGGTATATTTCGAAAGTTTCTCTGTTTCAAGTGGTCCACACGTGTTTGGGTTCTCCTTTGTTCATTGTATTCCTACGCGGAGGGCCTGAGACCCTTCAAGAGGAAAACTGGCGACGTCGCACGCTTTCCCTTCCTTCCTCTTTTCATTTCCCCTTTTCTGTTTTAGCATACCCCTCTTCCCTTTCCTCTGGGCCAGGATTGCGCGCGCAACTTATTGGTCTAGTCTTTTTGGTGTTTTGAGCCAACCCTTAGCTTAAAAACTTAAGTTTAAGTCAGTCCCATCGTGGCTGTTGTTCCGACAACTTTTCAAGCTTCTCTCTTCAAGTAGTTTTTCTTCAAAGTTTTTATGAGTTTTTATAAGTTTATTAGAAGTTCATCCAGTTTGTAGTCCAAGTTTTAGATTTTTGAGTCAAGAGTTATTTTGAATAAAAGTGTTAATGTGCTCTCCTAAGCACTGGTGTTTGGATTTATTCATAAATAAACCTTCAATCCAATTATCCTATCATTGAACGTGTCAACATCGATGGAGTCCTCATCAGAGGTTTAGCGGCTAACGGATCCACACTTCAAAGTTTGACGCTCAATATTCCAAATAGCGCTACTATCCTCCTAGTAACTTGGATAGGACATAACAATTGGTGACAGCGGTGGGATAGTCGCATTCATCGGAAGTGGAATTAGAATTTTTGAATTCAATTAAATATTTTTCCTGTCAACATCGGGGTTGAGTGAAGCGGAGTTCCGGCAGTTCCAGCTAAGAGGTCCAGGGCGGTTGCAGCCAGGCAGTTTCCAGAGGATTCATCGAGCAGAATAAAGTGCGAAGTGGAAGTGAAAATTTATGGGCAATTAGTGAATCAAAGAGAAAATTATAGTGACAAGTGAACCAATTGGAGTAGCTGTAATTCGTAAAAGAATTGTAAGTCTAGAAATAAGTATCATTTTTGAGGATGGACAAGTCAGGGTATTGCTCAGGTTTTCTGCGGTTTTACTGAGTAGTAGCGAGATACACTGATCGGGCCGCAGCCTCGTCCATGCCTAGTAGAGAAAGCACAAAATTTTCAGTTCAGATAGTTTTTCTAGAA